TCTTTGAAAAAATGGGTCCGGATAACAGAAAAGTACCAAAAAAACTTCTGATGATTGAAAAAAGTCGAACAAACAGAGCAGTTAGTACTTGCCTCGTACCACATTGGTATTAGGTCAGTCTCGCCGATATTAGCCGCACAAATAATCTTCTCGACAGCACGAGCTGCTTCATGTACCAGATCGTATTGTTCCGTTGAGATAAGGGCATGAAGATGTGCACGGGATCGGGGAGGCAATGTTATTTGTTGATGTAGGCACTCTTCGAAGGCCAAATCGAAAAATGCGCAAAAAGCCGTTTCTGGAAAATTCTACGGTACGAACCAGCAGAGTAAAATAATTTCGTCCTCACCATTAAGCATCTGAAGGGTAAGCCAGTGAATGGAGCCTTCCACATACCACTGGGAGAGAAGAAATACTTGCTGCAGTACTTCACCCGTCGTCAATTGCCCAAAAATTCCATCAAGCAGGGATGATTGCGAAGTTTCTTCGTCAGCGAGTGCTGCGATCACACAAGTTGAAACAGAGCTCCAATCTTCCATTTGTACATAACAAACTAACTGAAGTAGGAGGTTCTAAAACGAAAATGTGAAGCGTGAGTATCTAAACATAAACTGTTAGTACTCACATTTTCTGGTAATTTCTCCGTAACCAACGAAGGCAAGAAAATGGCCAACTGCACGAGGAACTGGGGATCGGAGAAGCCTTGCTCAACCATGCGCAGAAGAGGTAAAGCTCTTCGATGCAAGGGAAACAGCAGCAATCGCTTTGCTACCTGGATTAAAATGGTTTTCGATAGTCTGATAGTTAAAATAAATGTGGAAAATATGAGATGCTAATTTGAATCACTTGAAAATATTTCGAGAAATTAGCGTAGAACTTATAGAAGCAAATAGCATTGCATTACTGAATGACTGACGATAAATAATTAACGAAAAGCTTATTATCAGGCACTATGATCTAATTACATAAACTACGTAAACTGAATGTCAATCACTATTTATCTAATTTAATCTCATCTATGAGTTCACTGATTGATCTTGCAAGAACAGAACTCTTTTAAATCCTGTAGATAAATAAAAAATTCTCAAAGTGATTCTTTCAATAGTGTAAGTACAAAGCTTGCGATATTTTAGTACCTTCTGAAAGCACACTTCAGGAATAGAACCCTCACAAATTTTTTCCAGTATCCGCCAACTTTCGTCGCGCATATCGAGATGATGACAAACGTCAAAACAGTCGAGAAGAATTTTTACCTGAAATCGCAGATGTCATCTACTCAGCAGATGTATTGAAGCTCAAAATTGGTACTTCTTGAAGTTTTCTAGAGATCTTCAAAAAGTATCAATTTCGAGCTTTGATGTTTGATTAATCGAGAACTTGAAATTATATTAGGTTGTCCCAAAAGTAAACCGTATTTCTAATTAAATCAAGCTAAATCAAGCTGTTTTTGTTCTCCTGACAGACTTAGGGTA